CTAGACAGCGGATTTTATGCATTTATGATAAAGTAGATCAAATACAAAAGTGTAAAGGCATTAGAAGAATTTAAGCACACTTTTGCAATTATTAAAAGAGAAGGGACATGTTATCCAATTTATGTGTCTTACAATTAACTTCGGTGATTTTTATATTTTGTATAAAAATTCACTGTATAATTGCAAGAGAAAATTTATAATTAGTATTTGAATATCCAAAAGTAACCACTAGCATTTGAATTTTCAATTCGTGTTTGAATACCTAATTTATGAAATGTATGGATAAAGAGTCTTACAAAACGAAGATATAGTTTTTGCACTAAACCTTATTGTACTCCAAATTGGTTCTTTTGTACATAATATTTGTTATTTTGCAAATCGAATTAACTTTTTGACAGGTTTTACTCATCCTTTTGTAAATCAAGTACTCTCTTTCGAGAATAAAATTAACTCTTTCATAGTTCAAAATTGGCCATCTTTTAATTTTTTAATCCAATGTAAATTTTATTACGATGTAAATTTTATTAATTTGGAGTGTAGCAAGATGAACATGATTAGTACAAAATGATAGATTTGGAGTTCAAAAGGTGAATATGATTTACAAAAGGATCAATTTCGAGTGCAAAAAGATGAATATGATCTACGAAACAATTCATTTGGAGTAAAACAGGATGAACGTGATTGGTACAAAAGGATGAATTTGAAGCTGAAAAAGTGAATATGATTTATACAAGAGGATCAATTTGGAGTGCAAGAAGATGAATATGATCTACAAAAGGATTCATTTGGAGTGCAAAACCTGTATCTGAGTCTCGAGAACAATGAAGAATTTCTGAAAAGCGATGGCATTTAGAAAGCATGAACAAATCCTACTTACAGGGCAGATATCTGTTTATTCAAGATCTTTATCGATCCGTTTTCACCTTGGCTGTAATTCGCAGTCACGCACTTCCCGCCGAATTCGAAGAAAGCGAAGTACCTCTCCACCTCGTACCATTTCCCGACATACTGGAAAACAGGTTAGCGCGTCGGGTTTAAAGAAACGATGCGGCGAAATGATACCAAAAGAATTCAGCACGCCTCCAAGAAAGTTCCAGCGAATTTTCTCGGAAGTAGCATCGCGTGTGTCGCATTACGTCGAATGTATATCACTATACATCCCATCGAGGACAACTTTCTAAGTGCAGGTTGCGTTGTCTCATAAGTAAGCCAATAACACAGGCGAACGAAAGAAATCTATTCTAATTTCCATCAATTAATAACGATCAAACGATAGACGAGCGCCGTACTTACCCTGTCCATGTCGAAGCTTGGCATAGTCTCCAAATTGGGGCACGTGCCTAAAAATGGTACCTGCGCCGATGCACCAGCTACGGCGATTAGAATTAGACACGATCGTAACATTTTCGTTAACTGCAATTAAACCAGCAAAAATTCGTTTCATATTAATTCCAGGTATTTCATCGAATATTATGATGTGAGAGAAAGATGCAGTGGTGGTGGTTTTTGAATAGAGATAAAAGAGACAGTAGGAAATAATTGTCAATAGAAACTCGATTTTTATTCACGTGAAGGGTAGTCATCATTAAATTTTAAAGAAATTCCAAAAAATACGATGATTAGAAAAAAAATAATTTTTATGCGCTGTGGTTACCAATTTTAATAAATTGAAAGCAGTATATAATATAATATATATAATAATATATAATAATAATATAATAATAATAATATAATAATAATATATAATATATATAATATATATCAATATTTTTAATTTTTGGGAATAAATTTTACTGATTTGTACTTAACCAACTCATTATTATCATGATGCGTAAAATCCGTACTCTATTTATGATTATGATAGCAATCTATGGATCTAAATTGTCAGTTCTAGAATCGGTCTACTTCAAATAGGAAGATTTCATATTTAATGCGAATTTTCTGTATTAAAATATGACTGCAGTTTGTGCGAAAACGCCTTTCGAAAGAACAGTTAGCTTTCGGTCTACAAAACTGTGGTAACGATGCAGTTATCATGGCATTGCATGGTCACCGTTATTTGTGGATGTTGCTAGAATATAATTGAAGAAGGTGACAGAGAATATCACTACCGACAGTAATAATTTCATAGCATCGGGAACATTTTTTTTGGTCTCGCGCACTAATGATAAAAAACTTCGATTTTAATGTGTATTAAGAACAACAGTATTTTAACCACTTAGCTGCATCGATCTCTTTTTAAAATCAATTTTGTATGCGTTTTTTATCGATCATACCGGGTGCAGTTTTTTTCCGGCAAGTTGTTCTAGAATTATTCTAAAATGTGCGAAATTTATGAATATGTTCCACAAGCATTTTAATTTAAATCGTAGGAGAAGTATTTTTGTTACAAGATGTAAAATTTCCTTGTGACGTATACACGTTGTCCACAGCTAAGAGGTTGAATAATTCAATTCTCGATTACCAAATAAACCAGCTGCGTCGTCGAATTGATTGAACTCAAATGAATTCAATTTCAGAAACCAGAAGTTTCTGTGAGATGAAAATTCTCGTTATATGTATAATACTTTCACATAAAGATTCAAACTGTAGACTAGACTTTATGCATTCATGAAAAAACAAATTACTAGACGAAATACTAAAGCGTAAACATATTGAAACAATTTAATAACATTGATATCTTCTCTTCACCGAATTCAAATCTTCGAAAGAAGAAATATATTGTTTTTCAGTTTCTGTTCTTTACAAGTGAGTTGGACAATTTTTATTTTGCGTAAAGATTCGTAGTTTACTCCGGTGCCTGTTCATTAATAACTAAACTGCGAATCTTTATGCAAAATAGAGATCATCTGCATCGATTGCAAGATGTGTAAACTAAAGAACAAGTTGCTTCTTTCTTCGATAACTTTAATAGGTCAAAAGTAATACATCACCATTTATAAATTCTGTTGTTAAAAATGTTTTTACTGTTTTAAATCGCGTTTACTCAATTTCGCCATAAACGTATACAGTCCACTGTCCAACAATTTCTTATATTTCTGCAAATGCCTGTTACATCCGTGGCAAAAAATGATTGCACATGGACAATTTAGCGGATTTAATATATTCCGCCCATTGTCACAGATTTTTCCGACAACGTTTCTTCTTTTCAGCTCATTAGAATAGGCGATCCATTTGCCGACGTTGCTCTCGGCGCATTAAACATTCATAAGCCGGTTATAATCTCGAGTATCTTGTATTCAAGAGTTGCTCCGTGAGCGACCACTCCGCGAACTCCGACCGTGCCAAGGAAAGTTGCGGTGCCGAATTGCAAATTGAATGGAAATGATAATGGAACACGTACCGGATTGATAATCGTTGGTACACTCGGAATGTCGGCGACTCGTGAAACTGGTACAGGGTTGACTGTTACACTTCTCACGCGATGAACCGTCCGCCGGTGACTGGTCTTCCCGTTCCGTACACCTTCCACTTACGCGGACGAACTCTTGAAGGCTGACTGGATGCGTTCGAAAAATTTCTGTCAGTTAGTGGGTCGCTAACGGTACATTTCAAGTTCAAAAAACCCCGGTTAATGCCGGCGCATTGTCCGTGGACCGGTTGCTGGTGCGCACACACGGTCTTTCTGAATTTCGAAAATCGCCCAAACTGTCGTGTTGGCGCGCATAATTAGAGACTCGACGTATCTTTTACATTGTTATTCGTATTTAAACGAAAACTTAAAAACAAAGTATATTTATATATTTCGATATTAGAAATAATAGAAAATAGTTGTTAAGTTTTTGGTTTAAATATGCAGACTGTGTTTCAGCTAAAGGAGGTCACCCACGGTGCTGTGAATAATTATCATTTTTACTGATGTTTAAACAAAAATCAGAGAAAACAGTATTTGCATATTTCTATATTCTAATATAGAAATATGAAATTATGGTGTTTCGTTAAGTTTTTTGAAAATATCACTTAAAATGTAAAACTTGCTTTGAGTCTATAATTATTCGCACCATAGTATATAGTAAAAATAAGTTGATGAGAGTGCATTTTATTATATCTATCTCTATGCGAACTAAAATTTGTGTACGTCTATTACGAGTTGTGGACAAAAACAAAAAAGGAACGGAAGCCATTTGGGGATTTTTTTGACTAATGATTCTAATTTGTCGAATGTAACACATCGATGTTATTCAACTCTTTCATTCAATCATCTGTTTTGAGTTATAATAACTATTTAATTATAATAACTTATACTAAAATCGAATAATGCAGATGAATCGCTTTTATCAAAGTAAACAAAGTAACCGATTTTTGGAGCTAGAACAAATTGAGGAATTAAAAAGGACAATAATTTAATTTATATATGTGTTAAGATTATTTTAAGAGTTCGAAGGAAACATCAAAATTATGTGAAATATATTTTTATTAAAGTGAAAAAAATTACTAATTTATACAATAAAAACGACTGGAATTATTTAAATATAGTTAATAATGTTTAAAAATGATAGTAAGTAACCGGCAAAATGGTATTTTATTTATTCGTTCGGTTCTTTTTGGTTACTTGATTGCATAAAATTATGTATGGAGTGTCAAAAAATGTTTCGTCGTGACTAGCATATAGATGAACTCTATATTCTCGGGTCGGCGAGGATTTGTTAAAAAAAGTTTTCGCTAATTACTCCTTGACCGACTTTTTCAAGGTCAAATTTCAGGTCAAGGACGCTTTAGCGGAAACTTTTTTTTGTTAGATCTTCACCAAATCGAGGTTCGCCATCTCTAGCCACGAAAACACATTTCTTGACACCCAGTAGATCGATGAAACCACCTACATATACTTGCGAAGCAGTTTTTTTTTAATAAAAAATCAGAATGGCAGGAAGATACAGTTCATTCGTTGACACTTGTCTTTTTACGTTGCCTGAGGCATTTATACTCTCTGCTTTTTATGGTTTCATTGCCCCTCGCAGATTGTGTTGAGAGAGTCAATCTCTTTTTATGGCGTGGAACCGTTAGTTTTAATCACGCGAAATCTTCTGTTACTCTTTTGAATCAATTTAAGGTTAGTCGTCGAAAATAGTCACTCGACAACTAATCTGTTCCGGTATTTTACAAATTCTGACGATTTCCGGATTTTTCAAACGATCGCGGACGTTGTTTTGCAATAATACCATTTTCCTTTTAAATGATAGTTTGCTTTATGACTGTGTTGGATTCTAGGAAGAAATTCATTGAACTACTAAAACGTTCGATTATGATTTAATTCATCGAAGTGACTTGTCAGCTTACAAAAATCAACATGAAACTGACATTTGATAAATGCATGTAGGTTTCGATGAGTCGAATACAATGTACGTAACTTAATCATGGTGTCTATTATCCACAATTAAATTCGTTCTAAGAACGTTCAAAAAATGTCAAATGTTCATTACATTCTGATCGTGTCTCTTTTGTTGTTTCCGAATTAATTCTTCAAAACTTTACCACCAATTGAACATTTATAAAATAATAATTTGGATAGATAAGGTAGTTAATAACATAATGTAATAGATAATATAATAGATAATAAGATAGTTTTACTCCACTTATATAAGTAATTACCTTTCAATCTTCAACTCCTAAGCCAATAAGTGATTAATATACAGCGGATTTTTAAAATAAAATATGCAAAATAAAACTTGTTCGCATCAATTGCAAGATATATGTAGAAACTAAATAGAAAGTTCGTTATTTTTTTCAGTCATTACAATAGATTGAAAATAGTACACTGACATTTTGAAATTCCTGCAATCTTTCTGACATTTGAAATTGCACCTACTCAATTTTGCCAAAAGTGCATAAAATCATATGAATAGCAAGCTTAAATTAACTCTTTGTCCTCGGAGAATTTTCATAGACACTAAATAAAATATAAAGCGCTATCACGTTAGAAACAATTAGCATATTTACACAGAATTTGGCACGAAGTTGTATCGGTACAGATTTCTTGAAACGAAAGCTTTGAATCTCGAAAGTAGCCTAATTACCAGCAGTCCTGTCGCGTCTCCTGAGGACATTCGAGTACAGGAGACAATTTGTGAAGAGGAGATACGATTATTCGAGCCTTACGGCTCGTTTTTGTAGTTGCCGATTGTCAACAACCAATAACCGTATCTGCTCTTCCCAAATTGTCCACTTTTGTGCACGATGTGAATGTCGATTGGGAAGAATTTACTGTATGCATAAACTTACGCCGATAATTAAGAACATAAGATCTCTAATTCTTATACCGAGATTTCGGTATAAAAATCGCAAGAAAAAAATCACCGTGCATCGCCAATCGCCAAGGGATTAACAGTTCAACACAGGGACAAGAAATTCGCAAGGTGTTCGTATCAACATTTTCTGTAACAATTTATTTAGCTTTTCTTTTTTTCACATTTGTACACGATTGAAGAAATAAGCACAAACCTACCCCCAGCCCTCCATTGATTCATGAAAGTGATAATACGTGAAGGAACGATGAACAATGATCGTGATACTCAAGCGAGACTGGTTTCAACGGGTAAAACCGCTACGAGCTCGAGGTTACTAAACTAATCGTATTACGATCTACCACGCGTTTTCATCAATGGGTCGAATCGAAACTCGATTGGTAATACTCTGTTTTTTTTTTTTAAGCAGTCTTCTCGGCTTCCTTGACGGTCTGTGGGGCTTTCTCGATCGCGGGCTCGCTCGTTTCTTTTTCTTCCAATAGTTTCGTGCTGTCCGCTTGCAGATCCTCCTTCGTGGAACCGGCGACAACCATAATGTGTTCCGGGACTGTGTTAACCGTGACTTTCTTCGGTTTTTCGACAGCCGGAGCACTTGCCGCGGGTTTGTTGTTCTTTTTAGGGAGTTTTTCGGCGAGTATTGCTGGGGAGTCCGGTACCACGGCAGATCTAACGTTCTCTGTATCTTTTTGCGGTTGCTCTGCTTCGGGTGCTTCATCTGGCTTCGTCGTCGTGGTCGCCAAATAGACACAATCATCTTGGTTTGTCTTCACGAAGAAGATCCTGGAGATCTTGTATTTGTCCAGCACGGAGTAGGCCTTTGCGGAAAGATACGGATTTTAGAATTTCTACACACTAAACAGCGGTGTTCGTTATACGTTTTCGAAGTAGAGTGTCGTAGTTACACATTGAATGAATAAAGAATGATTCGAAACAGATTTGGGCGTTTTCAAAATACTTCATTTTAAACTAAGTTTTCAGATTTTTATTTGATAAATAATCTATGTAAAAATGACGAAATTATTTCAAAAAGTATCTCATATGGAAGATGATCAATTAATATATTTTCAATTAATGATTCATTTCACATTTCAAACAACGAATTATTTGTTATTTGTTAATTGTTATTTGCTTTTGACCAAGATAAGCAGTTCCTTGAAAAGTTTCATTTCACTTTATATTATTACTATTCCATACTGAGAATAATACACGGTGACTTTGATTTTTACTACGCTTCTTACGACTCTTCTTACGACGGTTTTTACTACGTTCCTTACGACGTTTCTTAGAACCGATTCACGTTTGTGTGGTTCGTGTATGTGGTTAGACATCACTACTGGCAAAACATAGAAAGACGTTGGAGAATAGTGAGTAAAAAGGAAGAATTGCTACGCGGCTATTAATTCTAGTCGCGTGTATGAATCATCTATTGGCAGTGTCAATAATGATTTCGATGATGGAACAGTGAAAAAAGCTTCATGGAAAGCTTGATTAGATGGTACCTTTCTTGGAGTTGTGCATATAGCAAGTGCATTTTAATGGGTACTGTAAGAAATGGCCGAATAATGTGGGAATTGAAGGTCAAATTGCAGTTCGATCTCATTTTAAATCTCATTTAAAACGAGTTCACGACGAGTTCTCAGTGTTGTAATAAATATTAGTAGTAACAGTACTGCACATCTACTACGATTTTGTCTGTAATTACTACGATTATTAAATGCTTATTCTGAACGTTATTTGGAACGCTGTAAAAATGTTGAATCAAGAAATAAATGTTATTTCTTCAAATAATAAGTATCTCAATTCGCTGTTCATCGATCAAATGAAGAACAAGATTAATTGAAATACATTGTTTACGAAATATCAGTTAACGTTATTAGAAACGATTATTTTTAAAATTCTATTTGAAATAAATTTCCATGCATGCACAAGAGGTTTTATCACACGGGAATCGAATGTCTTCAATTTTCAGTTGACAATCGAGTGAAGAAAAGTTAAAGTATCAGAGAGTTAAATGTTAGTTTGCACCTGTAAATATTTTTTATGGATGATAAAACGGTTCTGATTGTTAGATGATAAACATTTATCGAAAATAACATAATATCGAATAAACAAGCATTTAGTTTGAATTGTTCAAAATTGTGTGTACATCATTTGTACCATTTTAGCACACAAGATTCCTAAATCCTGTTTAATATAATAAGTAACAGTAAATAAAAAAGTGGATTTTTTAATAATAGACAGTAATGAAGCGATAAAAATACGAACAACTGAATGCTAAAATGAATTAGAAACATTATCCAGGATTGTTAAAAAGTGATCTTCAACTTTCAAAGCACACTGAAAATTTTGACTTCGTAAATGCATTTGACATCATACACCCCAATCAATGCAATAAATTGCAAGCACTCTTTCACTCTTTCCATGTTTATCTTTATATGATTTATAATATAGATTACACGAATATATATACATATGAACATATATGAATATGAATATATATTCTGAAGACGAATAATCTTTAAATAGTGTTCGCATAATACGACTAAAATATAAAGTAATAAAAATAATATAAAAATTAGAAAGAACTAGTCTCCTGCTATACTTCTTCATTTTAGTCAGCCCTGAAAGGGTTAACCACGGAATATTGATTGCGATAAGTGGTATGTTTTAAAAATTACCTTCTGTACGATTGGACCTGGGGGAATCCTATCTCTCGTCATGACCCAAGCATTCTGAGTGTGGAACGGCCCGATGCCGGAACAGCTCCATAAAACAGCATAGTTATCGTAGTCTGTTTCGAGGACGGAGTATTTAGTTTCTGGGGTCAACGGTATGGTGTATTTCACCACCAGCTTTCCTTCCTCTGCTTTCGATGCTGCTTTCTTGATTTCGCCCTCGACTACCCTCTTGATACCAGTACTGAACAATACAGAAAAACATACAGATCGTGGATGATGATTTATTAATCCTTTCACCTATAACAACGAGCAGGATTCACGATGAGGATTTCATATACAATAAAGTCTCTTTAATTGAAACTCAGATTGTACACTAAAATGGATAATTTGGGAAGAGAAGATACGATTATTTGAGGTTCGTGGCTCGTTTTTGTAGTTACCGATTGTCAATAATTATAAAAACGAGCCCCAAGGCTCGGATAATCGTACCTCCTCTTTCCGATTTGTCCATTTTTGTCTCGAAGCTGAGCGTCAATTAAGGAGAATTTACCGTACACGTAATTTCTACTAAACATGAATATCATTCATAACTTTTAAATCGAAAGAAAATCTGCTATCATCAAAATCAAGGGGACGAAGGTAGATGTAGACACAGAAGAAATAAAAATTGTCTTTTTCTGCTAGGGAAATTACTAAAGACGAAGAAGTATAGTCGATGCAGTTATAAAGAAAATATTATAAAATACGAAGGGTTTAAATCTATGTTAAAATGAAACGTGAGCATTGAATTCTTGAAAATAAATTGAAGATGTAAAGACCAAGATTTAGTATGTAAAAAACAGGTACTGAAAATAGCTATTTGGTGTATATTTTCAGTTTAACAAATTTGTTTATCTCTGTAATTTCTTTTAGTACGCGTGATCGCTAATGGCGAAACAGTAACATAATGTAATCACTTCAAAGTAAACTATAAATAAATAAATAAAAATTGGACTATTTTATTTATACTTTGAGAAGGATATAGAAATTTCGTTGGTACTTACAATCTGTTTGTGACTTCATTGCTGACCCGGAATTTGCCATCGCTACTCAGAGTGTAGTTCGCCATGACACAACGCGACACCACTTCCGTAAGTTGGAAGTACCTTTCGGTTTCGTACCAGATTCCCAAAAACTGAAATAAAAGTATAAAAAGCAGCTGATACTCGTTTCACTACTTACAGTGATAGTTTGTTACTTTTATCGGTCAATTTCGCAGACATCAAAAAATCATAAATACAATTTCAATTGTTTGTATATATCTGTAGCTTAAAAATCATCGTCGAATCAACTTCTAAATTCTGTTATAATTTCAAGCTGTCACTCGAACTTTTATAACAAACTTTCCGATGGCGAACGTATAAGTGGTTAACTCGAGATGAAACAAATATTTACGAAAAAGTCTCAACTGTTATCAAAACACAAAAACAATGTTAACAATGGTATCAGAATGTTAAAAAAAAGAAGATTTTGAAATTAAACGTTCTATTAAATGGACAAATTTTTATGAAAAAATCTCGATCGCTATCAAGACACAATCTACCTTAACAATTGTATCAGAATGTTTACGAGACATTAAAATTAAACATTTCTGGCGATGAACGTATAAGTGGTCACACGAGACGAACAAATATTCTCCAGGAGAATCTTACTACCAAACGAAAATAGAACGTTTCCAGAACGTTGAAATTAAACTGATCCAACGATGAACATACAAGTCGTTCTTTCAAATAGAGAAAAAATGAGGAGAAGTCTGCTCTCCAAAAGTTTCGAAAAATTCGAAGGCACAGACTACGTTGATAATAGGGTTCGTGAAGCGTACCTTGCTCATGTCGAAGTTCGCCATGGGCACATAATCTGGACAGAAGCCCAGACTGGGCACCTGGGCATGGGCCAGGGCCAGTGTCGATAGAACCAAAACAATTTTCCCGATCATGTCTCCAGGTGATCTGCCGTGGATCTTGTTCGAAGCTCTTGCCTTATATACAATAACCGGCGAGTGTAAGAGCGTTGACCGGACGCTACCCCCTCTTTCTCTTTACCAACACGTGAATATCCTTACGGTACTCTTGGTGGCCCCAGAATCTGGTCAACAGACGATGGTCATTGGTCAATGTTACCGGCAACTTCTTGGCAAGAAGTTCAACCGAGGCTGCAGCCCGGCGACCGCTCGGCTAACAGGGAACACAGACTCCATTATGCAATTCCTCCGCAACGGGACTTTTCAGCCGATGAAGACAAATTCCCCTGAACGGCGGATTGGTGTCAGTCAATTTGATGGGATGCCAAGATTCCCAGGCGTATATATGGCAATTGTAACGGGCCACTCATGTGTCTATGACTCCTGGGTCGCAGGTTGAACACGAGTTTCTAGAATTCCTCGTGGTCCCGACTACGATTTCAACTGGAACGGCCACCGGTCGTAAAGCTTGTCGTCGACGGTTGCGGTTATTTGTTCTTGTAAATCGTTTGCATTCTAACATTGATTTCAAGTAAAGAGTAGGCTAAGGATCTTTATGGTGTGTTCAAGTCTGTAAAATAGTAGATGCGCATACTACCGCGAGTCTATTACGTTATTATTAGACTGTAGATCTTTATGTTAAAGGGGAGCTTCGAGTAAACCGATGACAGGTTGATTGCTAAGCTTATTTCGAAGGAATCTATTCTAGTCGCCAACACTTAAAGAAAAAAAAAATAATGATAAGTAAAAGCGATAGAGAAATTCTTTTTGTGACGCCTTTTTGTTAGTAATGAATCTTTAACAGACGCGTCGACAAGTCATGAGTTATCCCGTGGTTCGCAAACAAGGTGTTAAAATAAGGATGATCTTCGACTTAAATAAGGAATAAAAATAGTAAACTTTAGAGACATTCATTTTGTTAACGAAGAAAGAAGATTTATCAGTCCTTTGAATAATAATAATAAATTTAAATAAATATAAATAAATAATAAATATAAATTTAAATAAATTTAAATTTATCAGTCCTCTGAATAATAAATAATTCTTGATTATTTTCAGTAAAGCAACTGTCACTTAGTACACCGAATAATAAAACCTCTTGCAATTAGAAGTATTAGGATAATAGTTAAGATAATTCTAATTATTTTGTTGCTTAGATAATATATTACTGGTTAGAATATTATCTTAAAAGATTCTATATACAATTTGTCTCATATGTCACTTCGTAAAGAATTTTTTTACCTGAATTCTATTCAATCGCCTAATAGGTAATGCGAATCATTGATCATTATTTTCAGAAGGTAAAATATAGAATTATAACGG